AACTGGGGATGAGGGTGGAGAAAACAGTGCAACAATGAATGAATGAAAACCCAAAATCTCTGTAAATGTTCATTAAAACTAATAAAATTGAATTAAAAAAACAAAAAAAATTCATATTCACTAGAAAAAAATAAGGATTTAATGTATGTTAGCCATAAACTTTAAAACCCAATAGCGATGTAAAAGGAGAGTTTTATCTGAAAGGTATGTTCAAAGCTTCTACAAGTTAAAATTGGATTTACCTTCTTTTTGTTGAATAGGGTCTTGCATTATTTTTTGGTAACACTCAAATTGAGCTGTCATGATTTTATTTTTAGTAACTCCAATATCTGCAGAGAACTCTTTGTATATTTTCTCATCTTCTGTTTCTGCTCTGAGTAGAGTCTACAGGATATAAAGACAAAAGAAAAATTCCAAATTGTAAAAATATCTTTTAGAAGGTAGTCTGTCTCAGTGGAAAGCAGCAGTGATATGTAGAATTGGTAAACTGTTTCTCTAGGAAAGTCTCTTATTTTCAGCATTTGCCATTTCCTTGGTTGTAGTATTCTCATCATGACCAGTTTCTAGCTACAGAAAATACATAATTAATGGGGAGTGTTGAGAAGATGAACTGGCCTGTGGGAGTTAGATCAAATACACCTTTAAAAGTTTGTTTTAGGATTCAGGCAGAGATGCATTCAAAACCACTTCCACTTTACCTACTCTGCATATAGGCAAGATTTTAGCCTTTATGTCTTCATTCTTTTAGTGTAAAAGGGGATTAAAAAATGGTGACCCAACTGACTGTTGAAACGGCACTTAACAACAACACCATCACTAATATCAAAACTGGGAAGGGCATATGCCAGGGATGTGTCCTTTCTCCATACCTTTTCAACCTGTATGCAGAACAGATTATCCGGGAGGCTGGGCTCTATGAGGAAAATGTGGGGTCAAGATTGGTGGAAGATCTATCAACAATCTGCTTTATGCAGATGACACAACCCTGCTTGCTGAAGCTGAGGGAGACCTGAAGCGCTTGCTGCAGAGGGTCAAGTACTGCAGCCTCCAATATGGATTGAGGTTAAATATCAAGAAGACAAAGATTCTCACCACTGGACCAATTGGCAGCATCAGGATGGATGGTGAAGAGATTGAGATTGTTCACAGCTTTAGTCTGCTTGGCTCTACGGTCAGCACTCTTGGCACCAGTAGCCAGGAAATTAAAAGACATATTGCTATGGGAAAGTCAGCTGTTAGGGACCTCTCCAAAGTACTGAAGAACAATGGTGTCTCTCTGGAGACTAAGATGCGTCTAATACAGGCCATGATCTTTGCTATCACTTGTTATACATCAGAGAGTTGGACAATGACTAAGGAGGATAGAAGGAGAATTGATGTCTTTGAGCTGTGGTGCTGGAGAAGAGTGTTGAGGGTTCCATGGACTGCTAGGAAAACAAACAGATTCATCCTGGAAAGGGTTAAACTAGGTGGCTCCTTGGAGGCAAGGATTCTGAGGCTCCGTCTAACATACTTTGGACATGTTGTTAGGAGAGACCGGTCCTTAGACCGGTCCTTGGAGAGGGTCGTCATGCTTGGGAGGGTAGAGGGACAGCACAGGAGGGGAAGGCCCTCTGTGAGGTAGCTTGATTCAGTGACTGGGGTAATTGGGATGCGAGTGTCAGAGACAGTGCGATTGCCACAGGACAGAGCAGAGTTTAGGGCTGTTGTACATAGGGTTGCTATGAGTCACAAGCGATTTGACGGCACATACAACAACAACATCACTCATATCACACTCAAGCAAAATCCTGCTGAAGAGCACCCACAAATGACTGGAAGGGTACATTGTCATAGAACTACCAGAGATATGTTTGGTTTACAAGAGTTCATGATACTAAAGACATCGTCGCCAATGTCAGATTGATCTTGGAAGAAAGCAAAGTGTACCAGAAGAATATCTGTCTGTGTTTCATTAACTATGCAGAGACATTTGACTGTATGGATCACATTAAATTGTAGCTAACTTTGAGGAGAATATGAATCCCAGAACACTTGACTGTGATCATGTGAAACCTATACTTTGACCAGGAAGTAGTCATCAGAACAGAGCAAGGAAAAACCGCATGGTTAAAAATCAAGAAAAGAGTGTGTCAGGGATGTGTCCTGTCTCTACAGCTTTGCAATATATATGTGGAACAGATCATCTGGGAGGCTGGCTTTATGAGGAGGAATGTGGCATCAGGAATGGAGGAAGACTCATCAACAACATGAAATATGGAGATGATACCACATTGCTTACTGAAACTGAGGAGGACTTGAAGCACTTGCTGCAGAAAGTCAAGGACAATAGTCTTCAAAATGGATTGAAGCTCAACATCAAGAAGACAGAGATTCTCACCACTGGGCCAACTGGTATAGCACCATGATAGATGGAGAAGAGTTTTAAGTTGTTAACAATTTCAGCTTACTTGGCTCTATAATCAACACTCTTAGCACCAGCAGTTAGGAACTCAAAAGACAGATGACACTGGGAAAAATCCGTGTTCAAGGTCCTATCCAGAGTACTGAGAAACAGTGTCAGCCTAGAGATTAAAGTCCACTTTATCCAGGCCATTTCTTCACAATTTTTCTGCCATGCATCAGAGAGCTAGACAATGAATAAGGATAATAGAAGAATTGATGCCTTCGAATTGAGGTTCTAGAAAAGAGTCTTGAACATACCAAGGACCACCAAGAAAACAATTAAGTCTATCTTGGAGAGACAACCAGGTTTCTCCTTGGAAGCTAAGATTTTGAAGCTTCATCTCAAACACTTTGGACACATGACCAAGACGACCCAATCCTTGGAGAGAGACATCACATTGGGAAGTTGGAAGGACAACTAAGAAGCAGAAGACTCCCAATTAGACTACAGCAGTGGACTTGAGGTTATTCAAGATTGTGAAGTTAGTACAGGATAGAACAGGTTTCAGATGTCTTGTATGCAGGGTCACTACATGTCATACTTGACTCAATAACACCAAACAACAACAGGAAATAAAAGCTAAAAGTCAAATGGTTAAAATCCAATAGTGATGAGGTGATGACAGAAGTTGACTGGTAGCTAACACTCTGTGAGCAAATCGTATTATTTACAATTAAACATGTTCTAATTTCTACTAGGAAATTAAGAATGTAGAGAAAAGAAAATAAGAGTAGAAAGACAATTACATGCTTAATAGAGCTACTAAAGTACCTCTCATTTTTTGCCATCAATTAATCACCATTCTATTATAATCTTTTCAGTGTTTGCTTTCACACCCTAGGGAAAGATTTACACAGGGGTTGAGTTTTACAAGTGATAAATGATTCATAAAATCAAGAAAATGATTATTTTTTTTAAATGGAAACTCCTGTTATTTGAAAGTGTATAGAACTGCATATATTTAATATTATATTTATCTTTATCTAAATTAATCAATTTTGCACATTGTCTGTGAATCAATGAATGTAAAAGAAATGCCTAAAATTCCATAAACTGCGACGATCAGTATGGTAATCTTTACAGAATTATCTTCAGGAAAATGGAAACTAATTGGCAGGCTCCATAGAGGATATGAGCCGATTGAATAGGAATCCTCTTTCTTCAATTCTAATTTATTTATTCAAGATAATATCTAAAAAGTCCCAATTTTAGACTGCTCCTAGGAAAAATGTTTTCAGATTCAAATACTGACAGGAATGTGGCTGCTCTTCCCCCCTCCTTTTTTAGGTTTACTGTATTTTCCTTTCATTTGTTTGAGTCTTTGCCGAGTTTGGAAACACTAACTAAAATTATTTGCTGACAAATAAGACTGTCTCTCAATTTGTTATGCAAATAATAAGAGTAGAAACAAATTAAATTAGGAAAGAGAATAATTTGAATAAATTAACCCTTTTCTTAAATAAAATAAAGTTGAATTTCTAGTGTATTTGGGCCCTCCAATATGATAATTATTTTAACTCAACTTTTGTCTACACTCAGACTCTGGCCCCATGCTCCTAGCCAATACACTTTATATCAAGGCCTGATGAAAACACATATTGCGCTGAGAAAAGTACTTGAAGACACTTCACACGTCTCTGTTTTGCCTTTCAAGCCATGTATCAAAATAAGTATATGCAGAGAAAAATCAGTAGGATAGAATTTGCTCTTTTAACTTAAAACAGAATCACTACATCAGGTAAAGTAAATTTTATCTATAATATGTGGCTGCTATAGATAACCAATCAATTTTCCCCTCATATTCCAACTTTTTTTTAAGTTGTTTTCTGTTAAGGGAGACTAACTCACATGTCTGTAACCATGGCTTTTCTGTATTTCAACCTCCTTAATGGTCTCACCCTCTTATAGAATCTGTCACAAAATGGAAAGCATTCACTGAAGGAAAAATATATTAGTTGTAATCCTTACACTGTAAATTAAATTACTGTATACATCAAGAAACAGCATCCAATTATTTCATTAACCTTAATCCAGAAACAAACTGGAAATTAAAATAAGAAAAATGCTTACATAGGATAAATTTAAAATTTAAACTTACCATAAAAATAGATGACAGAAACAGAAAATACAATATACACTTGTTCTCCATTGTTAAAGCCAGAATGAAATATGCTGTAGAATATAAATAAAACTGTAAAATAAATATAATTCATTAATATTTATGAAATTAATATAGGTGGCTCTCAACTAAAAATTTACCTTAAACCATATAAAAATTTTAATATGAGTTTGATTAGTAGTCTTACACATAAGCAATTATAACAGCGGCACAGTTTAAAGCACCAGAGAGTTCTGGTGGCCTAGTGGTAAGGACCTGCATTTCTAATTCAAAGGCATGTGGTTCAAATCCACCAGCTGCTCTGTGGGAGAATGATGGGCATTCTTCTCACATGCCATTTACTGCCTCTGAAAACCAGCTGGAGGTTCAGATATGGGTCAGTTTTCCCTCAAAAGTATTCAACAACAACTCAACAACAGCAGCTGAAAATTTACTATAACGGTATAATTACTAGTCTTATGCACGAGAAATGATAAGAGCATCATGATTCAAAATATCAAAGAGCTCAATTTTTTTACACTGTAATGCAGTTATCTTACGCACAGAAAAGTTTCAAGAAAATATATACACTTTTAATTAATTACCAAAAATGGGATTCAACTGTTAAAATACAAAAATAAAGATTGCTTTATAAACATTAACCCTTAAAATTTTAATAGCTTTATAATAATAAAGTGCTATTATGAAAACTAGGCCAGGAGCTGATTGCGGAACAGACCACCAACTACTCATATACAAGTTCAAGCTGAAGCTAAGGAAAATTAAACCAAATCCACGGGAATAAAAATATGACTTTGAGTCTATCCCACCTGAATTTCAGAACCATCTCAGGAACAGATTTGAGGCCTTGAACACTAATGAGCGAAGACCAGATGAGTGGTGGGAGGATATCAAGGGTATCATCCAGAAAGAGTGCAGAGTCATTGCAAAGACAGAAGAGGAAGAGAAGACCAAAATGGATGTCAGAAGAGACTCTGTAAATTGCACTGGAGCACAGAGAAGCCAAAGAAGAAGGAAGAATTAAAGATACTAAAGAGTTGAACAGATTTCAAAAAGCAGCATGGGATGACAAAGTAAAATATTACAATACAGTGTGCAAAGAGTTGGAGTCAGAAAATCAACTGGGCTGAACTCACTCAGCATTTCTTAAGCTCAAGGAATTGAAGAACAAATTCAAACCTTGAGTTGTTATAATCAAGGATGCTTTGGGCAGAATATTAAATGATCCAGGAAGTATTAAAAGAAGATGGAAAGAATATACTGAGTCACTGTATCGAAAGGAATTGGAAGACACAGAAGAATTTCATGAAACAACATATGAGCAAGAGCCTATGGTGAAGAAGGAAGTAGTTCAGGTTGCTTTGAAGAAAATGGCAAAAAATAAGGCTCCAGGAATAGATGGTATTCAGCTAACAGATGCTGCCCTGGACACGCTCACCAAGTTGTACCAAGAAATCTGGAGAACAACCACCCTTCCAACTGACTTGAAGACATCTATATTTGTTCCCATCCCCAAAAGGGTGGCCCAACGGAGTGTGGAAAACTATAGAACAATATCATTTATTTCACATGCAAGCAAGATTCTACTGAAGATTATCCAAACACGACTGGAACAGCACATCAGCAGAGAATTGTCAGAAGTCCAGGCTGGGTTTAGAAGGGGTCATGGTACTAGGGATATTGTAGCTGATGTTAGATGGATCTTAGCTGAAAGCAGGGAATACCAGAAGAATGTCTATCTGTGTTTCATTGACTATGCAAAGGCATTTGACTGTGTGGATCATAACAAACTGTGGCTGACTCTGAGAAGAATGGGAATCCCAGAACACTTGATCGTGCTAATGAGAAACCTATACTTGGACCAGGAGGTAGTTGTCAGAACAGAGGAAGGAAACACTGCATGGTTCAAAATTGGGAAGGGCGTACGCCAGGGATGTGTCCTATCTCCATACCTTTTCAACCTGTATGCAGAACAGATTATCTGGGAGGTTGGGCCCTATGAGGAGAAATGTGGGGTCAAGATTGGTGGAAGATCTATCAACAATCTTTGTTATGCAGATGACACAACCCTGCTTGCTGAAACTGAGGAGGACCTGAAGTGCTTGCTGCAGAGGGTCAAGGACTGCTGCTGCCTTCAGTATGGATTGAGGCTCAATGTCAAGAAGACAAAGATTCTTACCACTGGACCAATTGGCAGCATCACAATGGATGGTGAAGAAATTGAGATTGTTCACAGCTTTAGTCTCCTTGGCTCCACGGTCAACACTCTTGTTACCAGTAGCCAGGAAATTAAAAGATGTATTGCCATGGGAAAATCTTCTATTAGGGACCTCTCAAAGTTCTGAAGAGCAATGGTGTGTCTGATACAGCCCATGGTCCTTGCTATCACTTGTTATGCATCAGAGAGTTGGACAATGACTAGGTAGGAAAGATGGAGAATTGATGCCTTTGAGCTGTGGTGCTGGAAAAGAATATTAAGGGTACCATGGACTGCTAGGGAAAAAAACAACCAGATTCATCCTGGAATGGGTTAAACCGGGCAGCTCCTTGGAGGCAAAGATTGTGAGGTTCCGTCTAACATACTTTGGATATGTAAAGAGGAACAGGTCTTTGGCGTGGGACATCATGCCTGGGAGGGTGGAGGGACAGTGCAGGAGGGGAAAGCCCTCTATGAGGTGGATTGATTCGGTGACTGGGGTAATCAGGATGGGTGTGTTGGAGGCAGTGCGATTGGCACAGGGCAGAGTTTAGGGCTGCTGTACATAGGGTCGCTATGAGTCACAAGCGACTCAATGGCACATAACAACAATAACATTAAAATTCATGCAGAAGATATAGCTCTGAGCCAATGAATAATAACTTCAAAGTGGAAATACTCACTAGTGTCTTAAATCTAAAAGGCACACATGGCTGTGGTGTACTCTATGCTTTATTCCTGATAAGATCCATTTAATATCAATTCTGATACTTATATGATATGAGCTGTCATGGTATAATCAGAAAAACAGCATCTTCATTTAACTGACTATGTAACAAAATACTTTTGAAAAGAAACAAACAAAAATATCAATTAATACATATTGTCTTTGACCTGGCACTTCAATTTAATTGTTTAAATCTGCTATATATTAATTTTGTTACAGATTGTTTATAGTAAGATTTGAATACTTTTATATGTTGTGTTTGTTGATATCTTTTTTTTATTATCACATACAACGGGAATAGAGTATTTGTTAGCACATAGAATCTTTGGCTTTGTTTACCCTCTGAAATAACTCACCTAAAAGCAGGAGTTTCTTTGTTAATTGTACAAACTTCTGAATTTTGTTTATCTGCTATTTTGAGTTTTTCTTTAGTAACCTTAAGAAAAATATAACCAAGACATTAGAAAACATTGTATTAACTTTAAAAACACTAAAGTATTTTAACTGAAGAAAAATAATGAATCATGGGTTCTATAATTTAGTATATAATGAGTTGATATTTTATTATGTATTACATTTTACCATACAAAAATTTAATTTTCTGATACTTACAGGAACAATTGTCTCCAGACTCAAATCATATTTTCTCTTGGGTTATATTTGACATTGTATTAAAGAATTTCTTATATCCAGAGATCATGCCCTAAAATATTGATTTATACAATAACTTGAAGTTATTTTAGTAAATCAAAGTTATCTTTTTTAAAAAAATTGACAATGTCAAGATATATACCACTATCAAACTCATATTTCTATTTAGCCATGAAAATTTTGAAAAAAATATGTTTCATTTGTAATGTGTTTAGAATATACAAATTATTTTGTTATTTAGTATATTAACATTAGGCTTCTGAAGCTATAATTCTTAATATGAGGACATTGTCTATTATTCATTGAAGAGTCACTAAGGACATTGAACAGCCAGAGACTACCAGAGCCTTTTGGTCAGCAATGCAACACATCACCAGAATCCCTTCATACTTCATCAATGTCAACATATTTCCAGAGTCCCTGGACGGTACAGAATGTCAATGCACTCAGCTGCTAACTAAAAGATTTGAGTTACCTAGTGGTGACTTGGTATTAAAATAGAGTGGTTTAGAAGTAAGATCCACTTCTGAAAAATCAGTCACTGAGTGAAAACCATGTGGAGCCTAGCCAAGAGGATATCTAGCACTCAGGGTCTACAGGAGAAAAAACTGGTTTTATATCAAAACACATATTTGATATATTCTAATGTCAGTACACCTTTCATTAGGAAGAATCTCCATGATTTTGAATTGACTTGATGGTAGTGAGTTTGGGTTTGGGAAGAGTTAAAAAGAAAGATGTATTGTGAGGCAATGTTTACGTACTCTTGCTAATTGAAAGGTCAACATTCAAACCAATGGACTCATTATTTCAGAAGTGCATGGTTATCTCCGCTTCTTTTCTGCAAGATTTGCTGGAACTGTCCACCATGGGTGATCCTGCCGGTATTTTAAATACTGTAAACTTCCTTTCTACACTTTGTATTCTGTAATCTGATAATCTCATCTAGTGTAAACTACATTTAGTTTCTCAACTCTTGAAACAAGTCTAATACTTTTGGAAAAATAACCAGACATTTCTGGATACACTGGGAATTTATTCTCTTTGTATATCAATGAACGTAATCTAGCTAGTATTTAAAGGGTATGTGATAAAAAATACAGGATATGGCAAAGAATCAAAGCCTTACAATATATTTTATTTCTATTGGAGAAAAAAAATTATGATAAAAAGATGTGAAAACAGATTTATAAAATTTCATTTATGAATAATAGTTTTCCTTTTTCTGAGACTTGAAATTTATATCTAATATCTAATAATTAGGATGATACAGGAATGATACTTGATTTAAAAAACTGTTGAAAACACTTGTTTTATTAGTTACAAGTATAGATTTGATTTCCTATTTTTAAAACTCAACTCAACTACACATTATAGTTAGCTAATAGAGTTTAACTGCATGGTTCAAAATTGGAAAATGTGTACACAAGGGATGTGTCCTATCTCCATACCTTT